CCAATAAAAATTATATGGTTCAATCTAGGATACTATAGTAGGGGGTCTGTGGTATCTTACCTTTAAATACCTAATTAATATATTTTTCTGTAGATCGGTTCCCTTCTGGAACCGATATGAATACAAATATAACATTTTAATACAAATAAATGCGATTCCAGGAACCCCTTACTCGCCGTAGAAACGCGAGGCCAGGAACATAGCACTAGATCGAATCAGTGCCTGGGCAAATGTAAATGGATTAAGGTTAAATGCTGCGAAAACTCAAGCCATTGTCATTGGTTCCAAGCCCCTCCTTAGATCCTATACAGACTTTCCCATCCTTCACCTTAATGATCAGCCAATCTCCTTCTACTCCTGTTAAAAATTTAGGATTTTTCATTGATCAAAACCTCTTTTGGAATCACCATATTTCTCATATCACTCGACGGACAATTTCCACCCTCAAACTATTCCATCGCTTCCGCCATCTCCTACCTCAACATACGCGTAGACTCCTAGTTTCCTCTCTCATTTTCCCCCACTTTGACTATAGCTGTGTGGTGTATGATGGCCTCTCTGTGGAGCTCCGTGATAGACTGAAAAGACTAATGAACAGCTGCGTAAGATTTGTGATCGGGGCCCCAAGATACTCCCATGTTTCTCACCACTACGCTGAGTTAAAGTGGCTTTTCCCCTCTTTCCGAAGACAATATTTCCTAGGTACGTTCCTCTACCAAATCATCAACAACCATCGTCCTTCTTGCGCCTACAACCTTCTCCAGTTCAAATCCTCAGTCCATTTCCTGTCCACAAGATCTCGACCTTCTAACCTTTACGTGCCTTCTCACAGATCTGCCTCATTCCAAAATTCCTTTATTGTTCGCTCTGTCAATTTCTGGAATTCCCTCCCTATCAAAATTCGACATTCCCCATCCATATCCACATTCAAAACCCTCCTATTCCAATTCCTATCCCAAAAACAGTCAGATAGTTGCTAACCATTCGAGCTGATTTTAATAAAGAATTTGATACATTTTTATTTTTTAATTCTTTATTTTTTTCGTAAAAGTGTATACTGGTCTATAAGAGCAAACAGCTTTAAGTGTCTTGTCATAGTATTAATGGTTTTGTGTATAGTTTAGTTTGTTTTGTATATAGAATTTTTACCTTATATTTTTTTTACATTATTTCTTTTTTTCGATTGATTTTATTTTGGCCAGATGTAATATATTAATTTTGTTCTATTTTGTTATTCTCAAGGGACTGTGTCCCAGAATAAAGTTATTTTTCTATTTCTATTTCTATTTACTTTATTTTAATGAAAATTTATAAATTTTTATTTTTATATAAAATAAAAAACCTTGCAGTCCAGGCCTCCTTTGGGAACTCCGACCCAGGACTGCAGCCTCGTTGTGACTAACCTCCTGTAAGTCACAACTGTTATTAATCGTAGCCTGTATTAATCTGTATTAATTAGCCGAAATAAATTAGATCGATCCAATTATGGTAGGGCATACACAGTACAGCTAAATACTGCCTTACCTTAACACAATATTGTAATTATACCAATATAATTAGTCGAGAAAGTATTATACTAGACACACCGTGATATTTTTCGGTTATATGTTTCGCATATGTTGTGCAAAACGGTATTTTTATTTAATGAGTATTACAACAATTTGTCTCTTGGATATTAGTTATAGTGAGGAAGGATAACATTCACACTATATGTACAAAAATATATAAAATAAATGGAAGCAAAATAACAATAAATAATAATAAAAAAGTATATACAATAAATAAAATAAAATAACCTAAAAATAAGAAAATTAAAACCTAAGCAAAAAACACATGCATACCTATATACACTATTTACAATCAGGCGAGGGAACTCCAGGAGAACCCTGCGTTACTCTCTCAACCGCATGACTGGTACTAAAGCCAGCGGAGATTGATCGAGAGCACTTTAGCCCCATAAGTGCAAAACGGTAGAAATAGTAATTAGTTGGCTTGGAGAAATAGCAATAGAATTGGTAAAATTGGTAGAATTGGTAAAAGATGTGTTGGTACAAAAAATTACTTATTTCCAACAGTGAGGATTGTGTGAGGTTTCACAGGGAGGTCGAAAAGGAATAATCATCAGGGATTCGAGTACACCTGAAACACTTTCTAAGAGCAAATCCTCATCACATCTCTTAATTTTGGGTTAGTCCCAGAGATCGGGGGAACCACTGAAAGTGGAGGGTCATCTATGTCCCGTGATGAAGGCTTTTGAATGAAAGAAAAATAATTTTATTCTGGGACTAAAGTTCTCTAAGAATAATGATCGAGCTAAAGAAATATTTACATTAGTATTACATGTACACAACAAAATTTTAAAAAATACAAAAACATTTGTCAATTCAATTGTTAATAAGCAATTGTAATTGCGAAATCTTGAAAATTCTTACAAGATTGCGTAAGTTTGAATATGAAGTAGGTGGTAGAATAGTTGTTTGAAGCAATTAGGGGACGATGATTGGGCTATGGAGACAGGTAAGGAGTTCCAAAAGTAACTACCACTAATGAAAAAGGATTTAGGAAGTTGTTATTTAGGAAATATGGTTATTCCAAGAGAGGTTCTGATCAAAGATTACTCTAAGGTTTTTGACTGTCGGCAGGAAATGGAAGAGGCGGTTATTGAGACAAAGTAGAGCACAGTAAGGAAAGGGACTAATGAGATAGCCTTAGTTTTATCTGCATTCACCTTCATTACATTTATTTCTGCCCATCTTTGGATAAAATTGATATACTCTTCTAGCTTTCGAGAAGCCATCTTTGAACTAGACATCTTTGAAGGTTGTAACGATTGGTAAATTTGGAAATCATCAACATATAAGTGATTACAGGAGTGATTGAGGAGAATAGAGTCAGTAAGGTCGCTAATATAAATAGAGAAAAGGGTCGGAGAGAGTGAGGAACACCTCGGGTTAATTGAAGCGATGAAGAAGGGGCTTATTTAGGAATGACAACTTTCTTGGGAGCGATGGGATACAAAGGAGGAGAATCATATTAGAACGCTAGTTGATATAGGCAGGCTTTAGAGTTTGAAAGAAGGATATTATAATAAACACCCTTATTATTATCAATTCGGGTCTTCAGGCTTTCATGAACGTACATAGCTACTCCTTCGTACGCATTAGTATATAGTGGGGAAGGGAGACAGAAAAGGCTTGGGAATATTATATAGACCGTTTTGAACTGGAATTAGAAATTAAAAATATAAATGGTAACGAATCATAGAGAAGTCACGACGCAATTTATTGTTAAAATGTGTGGGAGCAGAGTTATATAAACTGGTAGTGGATTATTTCCATCCTACAAAAATTACTCAATTACGATATTTTGAAATAAAAACATTTTTACATACATTTCCAAAACTGACCACAAGTTATCTCGCAGAAAGAGTAAAATTTGGGCAAATATTCCGTAATAAAAATCAGTCAATAGCATCATTTTTAATGAAATTGCGACCGCAAATTTGGAAATAATCTGGAAGAACGATTACGTGACCAATTTTTATTAGGATTGAAAGACCCGTCCATGCAGGAGGAGCTTTTTTGCCGTCATCCAGAGGAAAATGCAAGCCTAAAAGAAATTGAAAAATTCCCTCTTATTATTGACTTAGCCCAAGAGCAAAGAAAAGTCACAAAGGATACGGCAGAGGAAACTCATATCTGTAGGATAGCTAAGACCGAGCAGGGAAAAAAAAAAAAAATTAAGATTGTATATCCAGCTACAGAACGTACTCGTTGCAGGTACCAGAAACATAAACAGGGTCGTAAATGTCCAGCTAGCGAACACACCTGTAGGCTTTGCAATTCTTTTCCTCGTTGGGAAAGGAATTGTTTGAAATGTGGCAAAATTAAGCTAAATAAAAGAAAGGCGAAAATGAAATCGGTAAATTCGGATAATTCTACAGATAGCGAATACGAAGTCAATACCGTAATAGAGGTCAACGCGATTAATTCAGATAATTCTCGATTTTTGGTCAGGGTTCAATTAAACGACAAAAATGTTCGAATGGAATATGATACAGCTGCTGCACGTAGCATGGTAGGAGAAAACGTATGGAATTATATAGGAAACCCATCACTACAAAGGACCAATAATTTAAAGGCTTATCCAAATTCCTTATTGAATTTGTTGGGGGAATCCTCGGTGTCTGTTAAAGTAGGAAAGCAATGTTTAAAACTGAAATTGGTCGTGATTAAAAACGAAGCCACTCATTTATTTGGCCGAGATTGGATTAAAGCATTCAAATTATACCCTTTGTGTAAACACGTCAAGTCAAGTAATGTTAAAAACTCAGAAAATTCATTCCAAAACCTCCAGCAGACTAAAAATAAGGTGTTTGAACAACACTCTGAACTTTTCCAAAACGGCATTGGAACAGTGAAGGGATTCTAAGCCAAAATTCAGCTACGCGATGGAGTAACACCAAAACTCTTTCTTCTTTGAGGCAAGCGTCTATCCATGTTTCCTGGCCTAATATACTACTACTACTATACAAAAAAAAAGTAATGCATGAAGACATATAACTTTATATTACATATAGTATTATAGTATTTACAATAATTATGTTAATTATAGCTCATAATAATCGTAAAATTAATTACGAGGTTAAGTTAAATTCCATCAAATTTTGCAGAATTGAATTATAACAATCATTAACGATAAATTCATTATAAGGTGCGTTTAGACATTTCACAAACAATGGGAAACACAATTATCTAATTCAACTAATAGCAATATTAGTGATAATCCCAACTTTTTTTTATATCTGTTCTTACCGAGAGCAGATGGAAACATCAAAAATAAGAAACAAAAAAAAAAAATAAATAAATACTAGCATAGGGAAAAAAAAACGTTTAAATACTTGTGTTTTGGATAGTTTGTGAAATGTCTAAACGCATCGTAAGCCATTTTGTGTAAATTTAGAGGGGTGGGGCGACTTGGATACTGCGCGTGCGCTACCAATGGCGGATTCCGCTTCCCCTCACAGTCCAGTCTCGAGCGTTCCTTCAGCGTGTTCAGTAGTTGGTTGTATCCTCGTTCTCAGACTTGTTTTCTACAATCAGACTTCATTTCTTCAAGTTGGGTAAGTTCACAGTCTCTTTCGTTTTTTCAGACAACATATCTTATTTTTCTAGGTAAGGCATTTTTTTTTCTCACTTTAATGGCATCTATTTCCACTTGATTAAGTATTAAAGTTTAATCATTAAACATTTTGAACGATTTGAATGAAAAATATTTGAGTAATCGCATTAAATTTTCGGATGTTCAGTATTTGGTCGTCCCGAACCCATCAGACTTGGTTCTTCAACTGAAGTTGGATCGCCCATAGTCCCCGAGCTTCAGCTTGTTGAAATCTCTTTCTCATAGCCTGTTCTTCCAGGTAAGACACTATTTTCCCCACTTTAATTACAATAGTTTCACTTTTTAAGTATTTAAGTTTAATAATTTAAATGATTTATATAAGAAATAGTTGAGTAATTGCATTGAATTATCGGATGTTTGTTCAGTAGTTGGCTTCACGACAACACCAGGCTTGCTTCTGCGTATCAATTTGGGTCAACGTTTTGTCTGATATTTTCCTTTTTATAATTTATTTGTTAGATGTTATATATATCATATATTTTTTGAGTAAATAAAAAACAATTTATTAATGGTACATTAAATTTTTGAATGTTCAGTTGTTGCTCGTCCCGAAGCCATCAGACTTGGTTCTTCAGAAGTTGCATCAGCCCTTAGTCCTCGAGCTTCAGCTTGTTAACATCTCTTTCATTCTCCTATCCTGTTCTTCCAGGTAAGACAATATTTTTTCGCAACTTTAATTACAATAATTCCACTTATATTAAAGTTCAATAATTTAAATGATTTATATAAGAAATCGTTGAGTAATTGCATTGAATTATCGGATGTCCGTTCAGTAGTTATAGTCGGCTTCCCGACGCCACTAGGCTTGGTTGGGTCAGCGTCTTGTCTGATATTTTCCTTTGTATAATCTATTTGTTAGATATTATATGCATCATATATTTTTTTAGTAAAAAAAAACAAAACAATTTATTAATGGGACAGTTAGGAGACTAAGAAAATGCTTAGTTCACATCAGCCCGAAAGCTTCTCTCCCTTAGATCCGCCTGTGGTCCTTGGAATAGCTTCCATCCTCAGATACCCATCTCACAAGATATTTATATTCTTGGGTTCTTGCTAATTCCCAATTTGCCAAGGTAGAGCTATTATACTTCCATGAAATGCCATGAGCCGTACTTTCTTATACTTGGAAAATGAAATAACCTTTAAAATTATAGTTATATCTTTTTCTGAACAGTTTTTCAACATTTCAACATTATACAAAAATGAAATCGATTATTACTAATTCAACTTCATGATAAGAATTTCATTGTTGGACCAAATCTGTTTTTCCAACATATTGGTAAACATTTTTTTTCCCTCTGTTTATTTCTCAGTGTTCAGCATTATTGGCTCCTTTATTTTCATCAATGACTCTCTTTGTTCGCTGACTCATTCAATGCCCATTTCGTTTGTTTATGATAAATATACTAACCTATTCATTACATAGAAATGTACTATTAATATTATTCTTTTGGACTATATGTATAAACAAAATATTTTAAGAAATGACGGTCTGCAATTATGGAAACGCTGGGATGCTTGTATCGATAGGTTTTCAATTGGTAACTAAAGCTTTTTTGGAATAAATAATAAACTAAAATTTTCCAGAAACTCAAGCAGGCCCTAATTTCTAATAGCTAGGAAAATAATCTTTAAACCCCCCTTTTTTTTTTACAAACACTTTTTTTCATTTCATACAAGTTTTTTTTGCAATTTGATACGCTATTTTTATCTTTTTGTTGGCTTTACAGAAGTAGATATGTTGCCGCCTGAACCAGGCTTCCCTATCTCTTCCTATCTAGGGCTATTACTTTCCATTTATCTGTATGCAGCTCTATTGCATCTTTGTTGATAGGATTAATCTAATTAATTAAGCTACATTCCCCGCCCATCTTAACCTCCGTGCCTTCAAATCATGAGAATAATGATTTACCTGTTTCATTCAGCAATTATATATCGGTCTCTCTCCTCCTTGTGTAGTCTGGTCTCAGATAGCTCCAGTCTCGTATTTTCCTCACAAACCTTTGAATACTTCTTTCTATGGTGCTGTTTAGTGTACAGCTCTCGCAGCTATGATATAACTGGATTAACCATTGCATTTTATATCCTTATTTTGAACTTTCTTGAGATTTGTCGGAATTTCAATGCCACTTAATCTCTTCTGGTACCAAAAAACATTTTTTTATATCACTTATTTTGCTAGGATATTCGTAGAACTTTCAAAATGTATTTTAAACGTGTAAGCATTTATTGATAACAAGTATATCACTCATATAATAAAATATAGACTATTGAAAAATAAATTATTTTTCATTTTTGGGGGAGGGAAGACCGAAAACTCCCCCTTCTCCGTAGATCCTCCAGTGGTGTGGATCCCCAGAATATAAGGGAATTGAAAAAGAGTGATATTGATTTATTAAATGTTGATTGAATGATCTATATTTAAATCAAAGGGTTGTCAGAGGTCAATATTTATGTAAGTTGTTGTATACCATATAAAATGATATTATAAAGAATGATGATTATAAATATGCAAACGTTATCTTTAAGTGTAGTCATTCCCTGAGTGTTGGATATTTTCTTTTGATTTTTTTGTGTCTTTGAAGTCAAGTAAGATTTAACAAATAAGTCGGTCATAAGATACTTCAAGTAAGCATATTGATTTAGTTGTTCATGTGATTTGTATTGAATGCCAAAATATTTACCCGTTTATTTTATTCATGCATATTTCACAAGTTTGTGAGGTATCTTGTGGAATAGCGAAATGAGTAAAGTATTTATTATCTGTTCCTTCAGATTTTAATGTTGAAAGGGAATCATTCTGTTATGTAGAAATACAAATTATATATTGTATTTATGAGTTTTTATATAATTATATCGTTATAGTTTGTGTATTTTTTTTCAGATTCACATATGGAAAAAGAAAATATCAATTCCCACTCTATGGTTCGTCGAAGCCAAGTCAAATCCACCAAGCCTATAAAGACAACAAAATCCTCGGAAATGTCTACTAAAAGTAGTGACCATAATGAAAAAAATATTCAAATTATCCCAGATTCACATATGGAAGAAAAAAAACCCAATTCTTTAAAGACAACACAAAATATGAACAAAACCCAAACAAAAAATGTTTTAAAACCCACCCCCCCGGAAATTTCTACTCAAAGTAGTGACCATAATGAAATTATCCCTTCATCCCCAGAAGTTGAAATACCAGAGACTTCGTACGGACAGGGAATACATGACATGCAAAATACAGCTGTGCAGGGTATTTTGCGGGTTCCTTCATATTCAGAATCCGAGGCATCAAATAAAAGAAGAAAAACAGAACACCAATCAAAGCCCAAAAAAATCGTAACTTTTGCACCCACTACCTTGGGGATTTCCACTGAAAGTAGTGATTATAATGAAGACAGCGCCTCTTCATCACCTGAATTGACAGAGACACCTCATTCCACTGAAAGCAGTGATGATAATGCAGATAGCATCTCTTCACCTGAATTTTCAGAAACATCTGGAAATCATCCCGAATCAATGATTCCACATTGTGAAAACCATCTAGAATCAATGATCCCTCATTCTGGAAATTATCCAGAATCGATGATTCCACAATGTAGAAACCATTTACAACCAATGGTTCCTCATAGTACAACTCATACAGAATCAAGGTTGCCACATTATGGAACCCATCCTGAATCAATGACCCCTGATGATGGAATTCATTCAGGATCAAGGCTGCCACATTATGGAAACCATCCAGTAATAATGTGGCCTGGTTTTAGAAACCATCCGGAATCAATGATGCCTTTACTAAGAAACCGTCCCCAATCAATGATGCCTCAACCTATAAACTATCCCAGATCAATGATGCCTCTACTTACATACCGTCCTGGATCAATGATGCGTCTGCCTCTACCTATAAACCAACCAGAATCAATGATGCCTCTGCCTCTACCTATAAACCAACCAGAATCAATAATGCCTCTGCCTCTACCTATAAACCAACCAGAATCAATGATGCCTCTGCCTCTACCTATAAACCAACCAGAATCAATGATTCCATATTGCAGAACCCATTCAGAACCAATGGTTCCTCATTATAGAACTTGGCCAGAATCAAGCTTGCCACATTATGGAAACCATCCCCAATCAATGATGCCTCGACTCAGAAACTTTCCTGAATCAATGATGCCTCGACCCAGAAACTTTCCCGAATCAATGATGCCTCGATTTAGAAACTTCCCTGTATTTATGTCTCCAGAAAACCGTCGCAGATTAATTATGCAATCTGCATTCAATCCCTTTCCGGATCGATTATTTACGCTTTCACCTCCTCGAGAGGTTCGGGAACAACATCATGAAGATGAAGGTTCTCACTCATCTAATATATCGAGTTCCGAAGAGGATTAGTAAATAAAGGTATGATCATATTATTATAGCTAGAAGCTGCTTATTATTATTTATTTTAAGTTAACACTAATTATTGGCTTACATTTTGTAAACTTTTATTCCATTTAAAATACAAAATGTATTCTGTTATGTTATTCTATTATGTGCGAGTTTAATTGGCTCTTGGGATACTCTCTTTGACTATATTTCTAGATCTTGTGTTTTGGACCTCTATTTCTTTTTTAAAAGAACTAAAACCTTCGTTTCTTACCTGTTCCACCGCCTTTTAAAATTCCCTACCATTTAATATAAGCCCCCAAACTCAGCACTTGGCTCATCGAAGGTATCGGATCTGTCTCTCAATTGGCCGAAACAAGGCCATCGATTAACTCAGTGCTGAGTTTAGGAACTTGTTCTTACTGCTTTTTCCCTATCCTCTTTAAAATCACTCCTTTTCCATTACTTTATCATGTGCCACACTGATGCTCTACTGTCTTGAAATTTGAATTTAAGAATAAAATGGTCTATGTCAGTGTTGTTCTGGAAAAAAGAAAGGACTGCCAACTTAAGTTGGGTCGTCTTTTTAAAAGGATATTTCTCCTCAACACAGATCTGTGTTGACCTGTAGAGGTATAAGTTATAGTTGGTAATGCTAACAAACTAGAGTACACTAAGGTTCTTTCTTAAGTTACCTATAACTTCCTTTCCTAACAGGTCCTTTTTATTTTATTTTTTCAGATGTTTTGGTGGCAGATTATAAATCCCATCAGGAACCAGAATTAGATCAAAATCTAAATTTCGAACACAGGGATTTGACTCAAGATTATACAATAGTGATTTGTCTATTTTTTATGTTCATTATATACATAATTTATTTCAATTATGATTAATATTTTATTATCTTATTTCCATTAATAAAAATTTGTTTTTAACTTATGTTAGGCACCATGTTAAAGTAAAGGATGTTAATTAACCTGCCCAAGGTTTAACATTATGCAGATAATGTGTCGATTTGAATGTTGTCATTTATATATATTACCATGGATATACTATTAGAAAAAAATATATTTCTGTACAAAAATTATTTATATGTATATATCTTGAACTCAATAGAGAATTTCCTGTATTTTAATTTCCACTGTCAGTAAGTTTTTATTTATATTTTGTTTGTTATTTCCATGTCCTTAATTTAAAAAGTTAAAAATGAGAAATTATACGGTATTAAATTTTTTTTTTAAACCAATATAGTATTTTTACATTTTGAACCTAAGATTCTAGATTGTAAGTAAATGGAAAACACAGCCACTGCCTGTTGAAATGTTGAACAACAATGATTTACTAAAATTCCCTTTTATCTGAAGCAGTGAGAGAGAAACTATATTTTATTTAAAATATTTTCCAAGAAAAATAGTAGATTAATGAATGAACAATTCTGATTTCTGATTATGGTTGGAAGTAATACTTTTTATTATTACATTCATAAACATTAATCATATATTATGATTTGCATAGATAAATAAAAAAAAATTAGCATTCCTTAAATAAAAAAAATAAAATAAAATAACCATAAGTAGAATTAAAATGAAAACAGAATTAATAATCATTACTATTATGGTAACCTAATCTTCGTCACTAGAACTTGATTGGAATTCAAACTCACTGAAATTATATAAGATTAATGAAACTAATTGATAGAACTAAAATTAATTATATAGTTTTTAAGGATCCTGCAGGTTTGTTCAATAAAAATTAAGAAATTAAAATTCATCTTTATTTGACTATATACACACAAAAAAAACAACTCGATTATATAAAAAAAAAAAAATACAAGAAAAACAAATGAAATTTTGTTAGAGTGCATCTATATATATTTAATATAATAAAATATTAAATATTTCATTTTGTTCAACTTTTTCAAAATTTAAAAAAGCAAAATTATATCTAAATTTACAAGTGTGAGCGCTCACTCCACCAATCATACAGTTGACCACTATAAATTGAACCAAAAAGCATTGAACATCTACACAGCTAAACAGTATCAACTAGGGATGGGTCAGATTGTATGTATCAGATACTTTGTAAAAAGTAACTGATACAGATTACTAATATGGATACAAATAATTTTCCTGACCTATGTTTATTTTTAGATAAATATATTCAGGCTTATTTATTTTTTTTAATTTTATGTTAATTGATATAAACTTTCTCTAAAGTTGATAATTCATTTGTTTTAGTATGTCTTATTTGTACGTAATAGTTATTTATGAATTGTAATTACTATTTTATACTTACACTTAAACTGATTAAATATATTTTCACATCTACTATTTTAGTATAGTTTTGTTATACTTCTTTTTGCTTTTAACCCATAATGTTCATTAAAAATAATATTTGTAGAAAATCTTAATTTCCAAACTAATGTGTACATCCAAAAAGGTTATTTTACTTCAGAACCAATTATGTAGCTTTAATTCAAATTGAAAATATTCAAACTGAATATTGAATATTTTGGTGAGTATTTAGAGCATTTGAGTACTCTAATTTATTTACGTGGTAGGAATAAATTAAATGTTTCAGTTGATTGTTTTAACAAAATTGAAAATGAGGTAGAAAAGCATTACAGCTGTTTGAAAACCGAGGGAAATTATTGAATACAAAAAAATGAGAAATATTTCAATAGTTAAAATGTGAAAGTTGCTCAAGAATGACATCAGTTTAGCAGAGCAAGGCCAGTATCAACGAGAAGGGTAGGGAACAGATAAAAATACCCATGCTGTTTGTGCTTGATACATACTGAAGGTTAGATACTTTTTTCAGATACCTGAGAAGTATTCATACTTGTGCTAGGGGTTGATACCTGATAATTTTATAGGATATTTTTATCTGATACCTGGATTTAATACACTGAAGGTTAGATACTTTTATCAGATACCTGAGCGATATTCATACTGGCGCTAGGTCTTGATAACCCCAATAATTGTATCGGATATTTTTATCCGACTATCCAACTGTAATTGATTCGGGTTTGATATTTTTAATACCTATATATATATTTTATTCCATTATTATTAAATTTGTCCCTGTAATAAATACTTTACACCTTTTAAATTATAATATTTATTTTTTACATATGCCGACGTTTCGACCTGAAGTTCAGGCCTTCATCAGGGCTAAGAAAATAACCAGATAACAAGGTATGAGAAACATAAGTAATGATGGTAAAAAAGATAATAAAAAATGAGAAAATAAAATTAAAAAAAAAAATATTATTAGAAAAATAAAATAGATAGATATAAAGTAAAATGAAATTGTTAGAATAATGACTAAGAACTAAGAGATAAATAATAAAAACTGTTACATAGTGTGGAATGATGAAGTAGTCATAATCAAAAAGGGGTGACAAAAGTGTTACATTGGGAATCTTAGAATAAAATGTAAAAACATAAAAAAGAAATATAAAGTTATATAAGAAATGAAAATAAAATAAATAGTAAAATTAAAACATTGAGAATGGAGTAGTTAGATAGAAAATTGAGATATTGTAAAGTCTATCAAGATGTACAGACAAAGTATAATATAATAAAGAGTTAAAAACAGAGAAAAGGAATGAAAGGAAGGAGGGAAGAAATTGAGAAAGCTGAAATAAGAAAGAAATAAAAGAAGTACTACCTTTCTCCTTAAGTGTCAAGGGGAGAATAAAGTCGTTACAAGGGAGGGGGAGAGAGAAGACATCTATTCACATCTCTTCTTTCTCTCTCCCCCTTTTTTTTTTAAATTTTATTTTCTCATTTTTTATTATCTTTTTTACCATCATTACTTATGTTTCTCATACCTTGTTATCTGGTTATTTTCTTAGCCCTGATGAAGGCCTGAACTTCAGGTCGAAACGTCGGCATATGTAAAAAATAAATATTATAATTTATTTTTTGCCTTCCTTTTTGACTGAGCACCCCAACTATTCTTCTCTTCATTTTAATTTAATAGTTTTAATGACTATATAGTTATTTCAGGTATGGTGCAGATATGTACACAATTTTGTTAAACAATATAAGCTTTATATTTGACAAAAGAATGGAACATAAATTCATGCAGAATAAAATTTTTCCTGATAAAAGATTCTAAAGAATTTTGTTATAATTAAAAAAAACTTTATAACTAAGTTTAACAAATATATACAAAGTTTAATATATATATATATATATATATATATATATATATATATATATATATATATATATATATATATAAACCATTGTATCAATTTAATACTAATAATAATAGTATTAATTTAATACTGCATCAGACAAAAAGTAATTGGAAGTTAATGACCAGCTACTAACCTATTTGTTGTATCAGATACAAATAAGTACCTGTATCTAGTGTTGCCCAAATGCAAGACCAACGCAAAACTTGGCTAGTCTTGGTCTTGGTCTTGCAGTGTTCACACCTGGTCTTGGTCTTGCACACTCAATGTTGGTCTTGGTCTTGATCTTGCAGTAAGAGTCTTGCAATGTAATACTAATGTAAACATTGTATAATC